ATCATGAAAGATTTAATGTGATATGATGTCAAATCAACAACTACATTATTGGAGTACAACTTAAGTTGATTTGTGCCATCCTTGGCATACAAATTGCAATCAAATTCTTCAAAAAGATTCAGTTTTGATGCAGCTGTACAGAAGTTTTTATTAGCAATATCTGTTGTTGAACTGACTCTATACACGCCAGTATCAATCTGAGTAGTATAACTCGTAATTGCGGTTGGAGTTGTTGTTGTCTTTAATACAAACAAATGTGTTGTTGCGAACGATGTACCAATTTTGTCAACGGAACCTTGGATAACACCATCAGTGACTTGATATCCAATTATTACAGTTCCAACTTTCGAGTTAAGATTGAAGACAAGGTCAGTTTTTGGTAGAAAAGTGGCGACCTCACCAATGGTATAATCCATCTTTCCAGTCAACTCAGTTCCTATAAGTGTCGTGAGTTTCACGTTGTTGAGTATCAAAGTGGTATAAGCTGTCTTTACTGTGGCAAAGGTTCTTGGTGTTGCAGTGGACGCAAAAACAACATCAGCAGTTGGAGCAGTGACACTTGAATCGATTTTGAGGATCTGATCGGGTGTGGAATTAACACAATCGCCTTCAAGATAAGTGGCTGAATTGTCACTTCCCTTTCCAGAGTATGTACAATAATAACCATCTGAAGTCGAAATTCTATATAACCCTTCACTAATTTGGTAAAGCTTCATTGGATCTGTTAGTGTTGGTAATTCTTCAGTGCCTTTTTTGTAATGCATTATATCAACATTAAATGATGTATCATTCACGTTCAAAGTTGTAAAAGTTCCAGAATAAGTTCCATCAATATGTTTTGCACCGACAATGATATCAGTAACAGCTCCTTGCAAAACATAGCTCCCAGTGTTAATTTTAAGAGTTTTTGCTTCGATTGATGAAATGGTCATGGTGTGTGTTATTTCAACTGTATCAAACTCATTTGCAGTTATTGGGAATGTAAACGAAGCGACATTGGTGTTTGTACATTTAAAAATCTTCTTGTTAAGATAGTATGTGTTGGTACAATCCCATTCCGTAAATGCAGTTGCGGATGCACAATTACAGTCAAGTCCAAGAGTTCCTGTGTAGTATCTATTCATTGTACCACTAAGTTCTACTGATTTGATTGATTCTGGTACAGTAACTACACCAACAAACAATGGATTCTTTCCTCCAGAAACAGATCCCGTAATTGCAGATTGGAGTGTAGGACTTGAATTTATAACGAGAGCATTGTATATTGTTGGCAATGTCATTGTAGCAACATTCAGAGCTCCGATTGTTAAAGAATCTGTGAACACGGGACCGAATGATGTTGCTTTGAGTGTAGTAATACTTGAAACGGCAGTTGTGGTTATTACATTCATATAAGTGTACTGTGAGTTATCGAAATCATTTGCTGAAATTGTCAACTCAATTCCGGTTGCATAAGCAGTGTTACAATCAACAATCGAATAACCAGTTGAACTATATTCACATTTGTTGTCACCATTTCCTTTTCCATAATATCTGTAATGGTTGCTTGTGATCCTCACCACTTTCAATTTTGGGTTAGCGTTTGAAATTGTATTCATCGTTGAAGCGTAGAATATTGGTTTTGTTGTTGTGCTTTGTTGAGATAAATCGGATATAGTTGACCCTTCGATAATTCGAACTGCATCATCAACTTCATTGGTTAATGTTAATGTCCCAAGTTGTGAAGTTTGAATTGTAAATTGTTGTACACTTATTGAAGTTGTTGTGCATTTGATATTGCTAATTGTCAAAGCACTCGTATCGATCTTACAAGCACTAAATTGTTTTGTGATCGCAGAAATGCTGGTTTTCACGACCATTGTCATTAAATTGGCAAAGTCGGGTATTTTTCCTTCAACGTTTGAATTACAGTCGTATTCCTCAAATGTGCCATCAACTTTTGTGGAACAATCAGTGTTTGCTTTGTTGTATCTATAGAGAGTTTCTCCGTTGATAGCAGTACCAGTTTTATCAGCAATTTTACCAACAATATACATATTGTTGGGTTGATAGGCAAGGGTATTAACAGATGTTGCAAACAAATAACAACCCAAGGAATTAACAGAAACTGTACCTGTAACTGTTGTTATTGTAAGGGTATATGAATTTGATAATATAACATCCTTCGCTTCTTTGATAATAGCAGATGTTCCGGTGTAATCAGCCGCGATTGTAAATGTCTCCACTTTAAGATTTGGTTGATTCAAAGGTGTGCTTACAAAACCCTCCATATTTTTAATACTCTTGAATGTTCTGTCAACGTCACTAATCATTACAGTTGGTAACACAACATCAATTCTAATGTAGTTCACAATGTACTTGCACACATTATCATTTTCAAAATCAGCAGCTTTGAAAATACAAGTCGTTTCAGTTGTTAACCAGTGTTGTGTAATTGAACCATTTGTTATAATCAATTGAGTGTAACCTGTTGGTACAGTGCTAAACGCTGTTTGAGCCAGTAATGACATTGATGTGAAAGTCATCCCAGTTGTTAAGGTAACTGCATATCCAGTTTTAATATATCCATTTACTGCAGCCGATGTTTTTAGTTCAATTGATTTTGTTGTAACCACCTCGACGTTGAAAAAGG